GTCGCTTGAGCCAGTGGCTACGGAGCTCCCCCTGGAGGTCCGCGGGAAAGCAAATCGCTGACGAAGGTTGGCGGCGCCAGCGGGAGACCCCGCACTATCCTCCTGCATCCCTTCCTCAAGGGATGCCTCCGGTTGGAGGCTCTCTGAGGTCGTTGGGGGGCCCTGCTTGGAGGTCCTGGGAGGCCCCCGGAGCTCTGCAAGCCACCAGGGCGACAGGAGGCTCCCTGGAGGCCCCTGGAAGTCTTTAGGAGATCCTGGGGGCTCAGTGAAAGCCACGAAAGCTCCCGGAAGGCGTGGAAACCTCTGAACACCGCCCACCCGAAAATACGGTTCTGTTCTACTCGTCGTGTGGCAACGCAGGAAAGCGAAAATGCATACAGGGATCCCAGCGCCACGAAGGGAGAAGGAGGGAGTTTGCTTCCAAAGCCCACCCTTGGAAATGGGAGCCCAAGCTGATCCTCGACTCCGAAAGGGGGGGGAGGGGGTGATAGTCAGTGGGCGAGGCTGAGGGGCTTGCTAGGCCAGAGGGCGATGTGCAGCGTGCATGCGCAAATGAACACTTATGTTGTGTTGAATCATTCAGATGATTGCAGCATGAAACACATGTGTTTCAATACACTTGCATGTTCAAATTCCCACGCACCACATTCCGAGAGGTACTATATGACATCTACATTTGACTCCTGGCAGATCCATATCTGTTCAGAAAAACCCAATAGTAGCATAAGTAACATGAAAATACTGAAGGGGGGAGGTGAAACATCGTCAAGACAGGGTGAGTAACATAAGTCACATAAGTACCATAGGTAAGCATCGTCAAGACAGGAGCAATACAAGCAAAGTGGACCGCCAAATCTCCTGAGGGGGGGAGGTGAATCCAAGTGGGATTTGAGAATGTTGAACCAATGGGAGGTGAATCCAGGGTAAATACACGTAAAGTTGACCTCCAGCTCTGACAGAGGGGGTGCATTCGAACGGGCATGCGGAAAACCTGTAAGAGCATAAGTAAACTGGACCACAAACGCTACCACCGAACAGGAGAAATGAGCGTGGCTAACTTCACAACGATAGCGGTGAACGAAGTCAAAAGACCACAACGCAACCTAAGTGTGCGTGCTGTAATGCAGGCATAGATACGCAATGAGATACAACACAATGCTATGGCAAACACTCTGACGCAACGCATCGCATAGCATGGCACCACGAAGCAGCACATGGAATAACACGACCTGATATTTCACAGCATTGCATAGCACACGATGACATAGAGTGCAATGCCATAACATGGCTTAGCTTAGCATTGCATGGCATTGCACAGGGCATAGCATAACCTATCCACAGCCATGCCGATACGCACTGAGTCGAGCGTCCTCAGGTCCCGTCGATCCCTCAATATCAAAAAAAATGATGCTCTATCATGAGCTCAAATCCCCAACTCAGGGATTTCCAGGGATGTTCCGAGTGACAGCTGAGGTGTGCTGTGAGACTTTTTCTGAACGGCCCAAGTGGTTCCCAAGAGGGCCACAGGACAGTCCAAGAGGCTCTGAGACTGCTCAAAAACGCTCCGAGACAGCCCAAGAGGGCCTCCAGAAAACCGAAGAGACCTCCAAGAGGGCTCAAAGGTGAGGGCCCCAAGAGACTAAAATCATTTGTACCTGGTTGACTTTGTAAGGATGTGGGCTTTCTCTCCTTTTCGCGCTTCCAACACTCCAAGACGGCCCGAGAGAAGATCACCCCAAGACGGCCCAGTAGGCCGCCAAGGGACCACAAGACGGCCCACGAGGGCCCCTAAACAGACGAAGTAGCCTACCAGACTGCCGGAGAGACCGCCCTTAGAGGGGACAAGCGAAGAGGCGTCGGGAGCTTTTCCCTCCAAGAATGCCCAGACGGACCCCCATGATTCCCAACATGCTCCAAAGAGCCCCCCAGAGGCCCCCGGGCAAGGGACTCCCAAGAGGCCCCCAAGAGGCCTCCTACAGGGCATCCGAGGGGCATCCCAATAAATCCCAAGATTCATCAGATAAACCTCTAACGCACAACCCAGGCAAATTGGCGGGTTGGGCCGAGGGCCAATCGATGATATCATGTCATCGCGTCTCCGCGATAAAAAGCTTCGCGCAACTTCTGGATGACGTCAGTAGGCCTGATAACGTGGCCTGATGGCGAAAAGATTCCCTGACGAACGGCGGGTACCGCGCGTCTCATGCAAACTAGCGAACCAGCCCTTTTCTGGGAAAGAACTCAGCCCCAGCATCACGCCTACTGAAATGACATGATAGTGTATTGTAATGCGCGGCTGTCACAGCATAACGCAGCATGGAGGAGAATTGTTTTGGACAGCACGGCATCACATAGAACAGCAGCACACGCCACAGCAGAACAAACCAGCACATCGCACTGCAATACACTGGGTGGCATAGCACGGCGTCGCACCGCATCGCGTGGCCGCAGCACGGCATGGGAGAGCACAACGTATAACGTGACGCAGACTGGATCACACCCCAAGGCCTCGAGGAGGGACGAAGTCGCCGCGAGAGAGAAACCCAGACGCCCGACATCGTGATGTGTTCATACAGGATAGTTTTTAATACATGGGATGTTTAAAAATATAGCATTGTTATACATGTTTAGTTTATGAATACCTTTATGCATGAACTCCTCGTTGTTTTTAGTACTAAGTCCCTGCATGTTTAATACATGATCCGCACGCGGAGCATGTATTAAAAACGGCACTGCAACTTTGAACCCAAAAGGAGGTCTGGAACCGTTCCCCCAGGGCCGGCTTCTCATCCTCGATCGTGCTGCTGACGGCCCCGAGGCCCAGCAGGGACCCCCAGGGGCCGAAAATGGCGAAAAGCTAGCCGCCGTGATCTTTTCGCGCCGCGAGGGGATCTGAGACAGCGGACCCCCAGGTGGCGACATCGAACCCTGTCCCCACCAACCATCGACCCTCCTGAATCGATGGGGGCAGGGGTGGGCTCTCCGAAACCAGCCATCGACTCTCCTGAATCGATGGGGGCAGGGGTGGACGCTCCTGATCGACTCTCCTGACTCTCTCCAACCATCGACTCTCCTGACTCTCCAACCATCGACTCTCGACTTTCCTGAATCGACTACCCCCACCAACCAAACCAGGCGGGGGTAGGACTCGGACCTCGCAGCGTGTGCGACGAACTCCCAACCCTGCCCGGGCCGCCCATCCGAGCTGCCTGCATCGCTGATCCACGAGGGCAGGGCTCGGCTTCTGCCGCCGAGCCTGGAGGAGGAGGAGGAGGAGGAGGAGGAGGAGGAGGAGGAGGAGGAGGAGGAGGAGGAGGAGGAAGGAGGAGGAGGAGGAGGAGGAGGAGGGAGGAGGAGGAGGAGGAGGAGGAGGAGGAGGAGGAGGAGGGAGGAGGAGGAGGAGGAGGAGGAGGAGGAGGAGGAGGAGGAGGAGGAGGAGGAGGAGGAGGAGGAGGAGGAGGGAGGAGGAGGAGGAGGAGGAGGAGGAGGAGGAGGAGGAGGAGGAGGAGGAGGAGGTTCGGACTCTGCCGCCGAGCCTGGGGAGCGCACCTGGGGCACCCCGCCGATGATGGGCGGTGCATCGGCGACGCCGGCGCGGAGAGAACCTCGGGGGCTCCGCAGCGAAACCGCACCGGCGACGCGCCGGCGACGCGGCGCACTCCTCCGAGCCCATCAAAGCTCGGAGGCCATCCGGGGAGACGTCAGACTCGGGCTCGGGGGGCTCGGGTTGGCACCTGCCTGCCTCCCAGGTGCCCTGGGTCTCTCGGGTTTCGATGGTGTTGCTATGGAGCACGTGCCGTTCCCATACTTCCCGAACATCGATGTGCGTCCTGGGGTTCCAGGGTAGGGTGTCTTGTGGAAGGTCTCTTGTGGTCGAGTTACCGGGCCATCATGGAGATGACCGGACCCAGTCTGAGATGTGACGCGAGCTCCCTCTGCAGGCATCCCACGAGAACGGGAGGGCCGAGATCCGGGACTCGCTCGTCGCAGAGCGTCGGCAGGCCCGAGTTCTGGCGCACTCGAGGCTTACGTTTCCCCGACCACTGGGTTCGGACTTCGCCGCCGAGCCTGGGGATCTTCGAGTCCCTGAACGGTGCGGTGACAGGCCGTGCGGTGACCTCGAAGTCCCCCAAGACCTCACCGCACGGTCCGTCAACGCACGGTCTTGGGACCTCTGATGCCCCAGTCGCCTGAGGCGTCGTCGGAGAACGACCCGAGCCCCAAAACTTTGGACGCCGAAATGGGCAAAACAGTGGGCAGAATGCCCAACAGCAAATGTTGTCCCGAACCAACAGCAGCCGCTGTTTTGCAGGCGGCCTTCTGTCTCAAATGGACACAATCCGTGGCGACGCCGACGGCGAATCCTGTCCAAAATGAACAAGAACTGCTCTCGGTCTCTGTACCCATTCTTTCCGTGCCCATGTCGGCCGTCCCGAAAGACCGTGCGGCAATCCCGAATCCCCACTGACTCGCCACACGGTGGTCACCATCCCGTTCGTCGGCCACACGCAAGAGTGACCCTGGGTAAGAGTGACCTTTGGTGCGCGGCTCCTCGGGGGGCCGCGGGGGGGGGGGGGGGCCAAACACGAGCGCGCAAGACGGTACTATCGCATCGCGCTCGGCGATCGGGGGACCCCAATGGGCCCGCACCAAATTGGACGCCCGAGTTATCCGGGGTAACTCGGGTCCGAGGTAACTCGGGTTTGGGTTCCCGGAAAACGAACCCGAGTTAACCCTGCCCCGAGTGATCCCTGATGATTCGGGGCTCTGGACGCCCGAAATATCCGGGGTAACTCGGGTCCGGGGTAACTCGGGTTCGGATTCCCGAAAAACGAACCCGAGCTATCCCTGACCCGAGTTATCCCTGACCCGAGTTACCCCTGACCCGAGTTATCCCTGACCCGAGTTAACCCCCTGACCAAAGGTCACTCCAGCGAAAGGTCACTCTTACGCGTAGTCGAGCCCGGGGGCCCCCGAGGCGTGCGGAAACCCCGGGCGCCTCACTGCCGTGCGCCAGGCGCGCCGCGATCGCCGCGCCGCGGCGCCCCAGCGCGCCCTCCGCCCGCAGCTCCCGCCGCGGCGCCGCGGGCCACGGCGCCGAGGGCGCCGGCGCGCCCGGCGCGCTCGGCGCCGGCGCGGAGGGCACGGCCGCCACGGCCGGCGCGGCGCCAGCGGCCACGGGGCTCTCCTCCTCTCTCGGGTCGGGCGAAAGTGAAAGGGCCCCAGGACACACGAAGAAGTACACACAACTAAAAAGATGCGCCATGTTTTCCCAGGTTTTCTGGGTTTTTGTCTTCCCCCCCCACTTCCCATAATTTCCCATGTTTTCTGGGGAATCGAGGATTAATTGTGTCTGTGTGTTTCTTTTCCTCCTGAGAAAGGGGGGGATAGCAAAGGGGGGGGGGGTGAGAGTCGGCTCACGTAGCTGATGTTCCCGACGCCTCCCGGCGTCGGAGGCGGCCGTGCATCGAGGAATGGGCCCCTCGGTGAGGCCGAAACCAGCTGCATGCAGCAAATTTCGTGACCCCCCCTTTCCCAATCCCCCTCTTTCGTCCGGCCCGACTCTCAGCTGGGACGCACAGAGACATGCTAGTACTGCATGTCCTCCTTGGAGGCGCGCGTCCGACCCGAGCATGTAGTATACCCCTCTTGTAGTATCCCGAGCGGTGTGGCCAGAAAGCGCCCGCCACGCCGCATGTCGTATACAACTTCTCGATGCGCGCGTCGCCCTTGGGGGGGCGACGCACACATAGTATTAGTATTTTGGGGCGACGCCGAGCCAAAGTGGCCATGAAGACACAAATGAATCGACGCAAGTTCCAAGATGTCCTAGGTGCTTTCCAAAAATCCTGGATTGCCTCTTCCCCTCTATCATGCAGTGCCCCCCCCCCTTTTTTCGCACGAAGATCAGCATCTGTTGGTGTGTGTTGTGCTTTGTGTTTCCCAGGGCTTGAAGGTGGGCACCACCACCAACACAGGGGCGTGCCTCCACCAAAGAAGACGACCCTGGCCTTCGGCGCTGGTGGTAATGCTTCGGCCACCTAAGATAGAGGAAAAAGAACCATGCACATACACCGATTTTGGCCAGGTCCATCCTGAGCCCAAGATCGGTGCATACGCCCTCCTGCCTTGGCCAGGAAGGCATATGCACCGATCCTGGCTGGGGCCAAGGATGGGCCTGGCCAGGACTGGTGCATGTGCATAGTTCTCTTCGCCCGACTGAAAGCCCGAATAGTACCACATCTCCGAGATCGGGATCACCGTCTCTCGGCGGGAGCACACCGCCAACACTGGTGCTGGCTCCAATCCCCAGGCCTCCGCTCCTCGGCCTTCGCCGCGAGCAGCTCCTTCAGGGAGAGGGCCGCGGCCGGCGCAGCCTTGGGGGCGCCGGCGCCCCCCACGAAGAGGGCCTGGCAGGCGTCGTCGAAGTCCGACGCGCCCGGGGGCGCGGCCTGCGAGAGGCGGCGCCGTCGGAGCAGCCCGCTGAGGCGTGGGGCCTTCGGCGTGGCCAGCGAGGCCCGCCGCGCCACCGCGCCACGCGGCACGTTCCCGAGGCAGTACACGGTCCCCGTCTTCGGCGCGGGCGGCAGCGGGGCAGGCTCCCTGGCGGGCGCGCGCAGCTGGCGCCGGCGAGCCCTGCCACTGGCCCCTGCGGCGGTGGAGGCGGCACTGCGCTGGCTGTCGCCGTCGGCCGCACTCGCAGCCTCCGAGGCGGCCCCCGCGCCCAGGCCGGCCCTGCCGCCCGAGGGCGCGGCCGCGACGGCGGCCCCCGCCGCGCGCGCGCCGCGGCGGACCTGGCCTGCCGTCGGTGGCGCCGCGGCCTCTGGGGAGGCAGGGCCCTCCAGGTTGGCCGCGGGCGGAGTCGCCGCGGCAGCAGCTGCGGTCGTGGAGGCGGCGCCCTGGCAGTCCGCCTGCCCGCTGGTGCCCGCCGGGTCCTCCTGCAGCGCGCCACCTGGCGCCTCGCCCGGGCGCGGAACGCCCAGCCCGGCAGGGCTCCCAGCGCGCTGGGCGGGAGGGCCGGCAGCGGCGGCGGCCGCCCGCCACCAGCCATGGGCTTGCTCCGCGCCCAGGCGCGGCCTGGACCTCGAGCGTCTCAAACTGGATGTGGCAGGTGGCAGCGCTGTCGGAGCTGCGGCGGCCACCCCGCGAGCGCCGACGGCTGTGCGGCACTCTTGGTCCAGCGCAGCAGCAGACCCACTCTGGCACGGCTGCGTCGGACTTATCGCCGTCGGCGGACTCCTCCTCCTCGAGACCGGGCTCCCCGCCGCGCTCCCGCCGCAGCTGTAGGCCTCCGTGTCCGCTGGGCTGCCTGGGCCGCCGTCGTCCCCTCCGGCTGCCAGCGCGGCAGGGGGAGGCAGCGCCCAGCGCGGCCCCGCGAGCGGGCCTGCGCCCTCCCCCCAGGCCACGCTCCCCTCGCGGTCGTAGTCCAGGGTCGCCGCGGAGCTCCCCGAGCGGGAGCGGGCAGCCGCGCCGCCACCGAGGCCGCCGCCCGCCACGGAGGCAGCGTCGCGGGCGGGCTCGCCTGGCGCGCGGCCCGACGAACCGCTCCGGCCGCGGCCGCGCGCCCCGCGCGCGGCGGCCGCGCGCGCGGCCGCGGCGCCAGCCTCGCCCGCGGGGGCGGCGCTCGCGCCAGCCGTATCGCGCTCCGGGGGCGCTCCCGGGCACGCGTGCGCCTCCCGAGCGGCGCGCGCTGGGGAGGGACGGGGCGACGGTGGGCAACGGCACGGGAGACCTACCCCTGCAGGCCAGGTTGCTGAAACGCCAGCTGGGCTTCAGAACTCGAAGGACGTCTGCAGCCAGGTGGACCCCAGCGGGGGTGTCCGACACCCGGGCGTCGAGTGGAGCCGCAGGGGTAGGGTGCGCGAGAGGGCGCAGAGACGGGAAAGGCCCGCTCAGAAGGCGGGGGACGGGGCCTTGGAGGAGCTCTCCCTGAGCAGCCCCTCTTGGAGGGGCTACCGGCCCCTGGAGCGTCGTGAAAAATTATCACGGCGAAGGGCCCAACCAGAAGCAGTTGCAGGTACTGTCGTTGTGAATATTGCCTTCGGTTGAGCTCCCCCTGGGAAACACATGAGGGGTGTGCCGAACTGGGTGGGGCGGCCGCATGCGACCATGGCCACTGCGGCCTTCGGTGAGCTTCCTCTGGGGCGAGTAACCATGTAAGAGGTGTGCCGTGACGACTGGGGGAGACGCATGCGAACGGTTTCGCTTGGGCCTTCGGTGGAGCTCCCTATGGTGCCACGAAACGTGTGAGGGGTGTGCTGACATGGCTGGGGGGGAAACGCATGTGGACACCGCCACTGGGGCCTTCGGCGGAATTCCCTATGAACCGTGTGAGGGGTGTGCCGAAATAGATGGGGGACGCATGCGAACGGTGCCACTGGGACCTTCGGTGGATCTCCCTATGGGCCAAGAAACGCATGAGGGGTGTACCGAAATAGATGGGGGGACGCATGCGAACGGTGCCACTGAGACCTGCGGTGAAGCTCCCTATGGGGCCACGAAACGTGTGGCGGGAATGCCGACATGAGCGGGGGGGCGCATGCGAACGGTGCCACTGGGACCTTCGGTGAGGCTCCCTATGGGGCCACGAAATTTGTGGGGGGAATGCCGAAAGGAGCGGGGGGGGCGCATGCGAACGGTGCCACTGGGACCTTAGGTGAAGCTCCCTCTGGGGCCCCGGGTGTGCCGAAATGAGCGGGGGGGGCGCATGCGAACGGTGCCACTGGGACCTTCGGTGAAGCTCCCTATGGGGCCACGAAATTTGTGGGGGGAATGCCGAAAGGAGCGGGGGGGCGCATGCGAACGGTACCACTGGGACCTTAGGTGAAGCTGCCTCTGGGGCCCCGAGTCGTGAGAGTGGTGTGCCGAAATGAGCGGGGGCGCATGCGAACGGTGCCACTGGGACCTTCGGTGGAGCTCCCTCTGGGGCCCTGAATCGTGAGAGGGGTGTGCCGAAATTGGTGGGGGGACGCATGCGAACGGTGCCACTGGGCCCTTCGCTGGAGCTCCCTCTGGGGCCCCGAACCGTGTGAGGGTGCCGAATTGGATGGGGGGACGCATGCGAACGGTGCCACTAAGACCTTCGGTGGGCCTCGCTGTGGGGCCACGAACCGTGTAAGGGGTGCGCAGCCACACGTGGCGATGATAGTAATGATGGCGGCGATGATGTTGACGATGATGATGATGATAATAATAATAATAATGATAATGATAATAATAATAATGATAATAATAATAATAGTAGTAAAAAATAATAAGACTAATAATAATAAGAATGATGATGATGATGATTATGATGATGATGTGCATGATGAGGATGATGACGATGATGATGATGATGATGATGATGATGATGATGATGATGATGATGATGATGATGATGATGATGATGATGATGATGATGATGTTGATTACGATGATGATGATTAGAATGATGATGCTGATGATGCTGATGATGATGGTGATGCTTATGATAATTCAAATAATACAAATACAAATACAAATAAAAATAAAAATAAGAAGAATAATCATCCGCTGGCCCCGTTGTAAGGCCACCAGGTTGTAGGGCTAAGGTTCGCAGTTTCCTGTATAAGTTGCAGCTTCCAGTTCCCACTGTTACAGTTCTGCTTCTTGCTGCTTACTGTTCCTTATTGACTTCTTGCTGCTTACTGTTCCTTGTTGATGGACCGCGCGAGGGGAGAGGCCCAAAACAGGCATTTTCACAACGCCCAAAACGTATTGTCTGAATTGCTGGGGTGGGTAAGAATTTACACCCCTCACGCAGATCGGCGGGGTCAGGGTCCAAAAACACAAGGGATGTGCCACATTTCTGAAATTCGGTGGCACCCTTCACGCAAATCGGCGGGGCCAGGGTCCAAAAACACAAGGGATTTGCCACATTTCGAAAATTCGGTGGCACCTCTCATGTAAATCGGCGGAGTCAGGGTCCAAAAACACAAGGGATCTGCCACATTTTTGAAATTCGACGACACCACTCACGCAGATCGGCGGGGTCAGGGTGCACAAGCATAAAGGATTTGCCACATTTCTGAAAATTCGGTAACGCCCCTCAAACAGATCGGCGGGGTCAGGGTACAAAAACACAAGGGATCTGCCACATTTTTGAAATTCGACGGCACCACTCACGCAGATCGGCGGGGTCAGGGTGCACAAGCATGAAGGATTTGCCACATTTCTGAAAATTCGGTAACACCCCTCAAACAGATCGGGGGGGTCAGGGTCCAAAAACACAAGGGATTTGCCACATTTCGAAAATTCGGTGGCACCTCTCATGCAAATCGGCGGGGTCAGGGTCCAAAAACACAAGGGATGTGCCACATTTCTGAAATTCGGTGACACCCCTCACGCAAATCAGCGGGGTCAGGGTCCAAAAACACAAAGGATGTGCCACATTTTTAAAATTTCACGCAGATCGGCAGGGTCAGGAACCAAAAACACAAAGGATTTGCTACATTTCTGACATTCGGCGGCACCACTCATGCAAATCCGTAGGGTCAGAGTCCAAGAACACACGGGATTTGCTACATTTCTGAAATTCGGTGGCACCCCTCACGCAGATCGGCAGGGTCAGGGTCCAAAAACACAAGGGATTTGTCACAATTCTAAGATTCGGTGGCACCCCTCACGCAGATCGGCAGGGTCAGGAACCAAAAACACAAAGGATTTGCTACATTTCTGAAATTTGGCTGCACCCCTCATGCAGATTCGTAGGATCAGAGTCCAAGAACACACGGGATTCGACACATTTCTGAAATTCGGTGGCACCCCTGACGCAGATCCGTAGGGTCAGGGTCCAAAAACACAAGGGATGTGCCATATTTCTGACATCCGGCGGCACCCCTCACGCAGATCGGCAGGGTCAGGAACCAAAAACACAAGGATTTGCCACATTTCTGCAGTTCGGCTGCACCCCTCATGCAGATCCGTAGGGTCAGAGTCCAAAAACACACGGGATTCGCCACATTTCTGAAATTCGGTGGCACCCCTGACGCAGATCCGTAGGGTCAGGGTCGAAAAACAAACAGGTCCCGACACTGCTTCACGGCGGCGCCCAGACCTCATGATTTCGCTCCTCCATGGCCCACTCCCCGAGAGAAGGGGCTGGCGGCAGGGGACGAAACCCTTACGGATAATAATAATAATAATAATAATAATAATAATAATAATAATAATAGTAATAATAAATATAAAATTCATAGTAAGATAATGATAATAATAATAAAAATAATAATAGTGATGATGACAATAATAATAGTAATAATAATAATAATAATAATAGCAATAATAATAATAAGAAGAAGAATAATAATAATAATAATAAGACAATTCATAATAATTGTAAATAAAAATAAGAATAATAATACTAATAATAATAGTGACAATAAGAATAATAATAGTAATAGTAATGAAGCTGCTAAAAAATATAAGAATAATAACAATAATAATAGCAATAAGAAGTGATGATGATGATGATGATGATCCTGATGATGGTGATGATGATTATGATGATGGTGACGATTATGGTGATGGTGACGGCGATGATGATGATGATGGTGATGATGCGAAGATGATGGTGATGATGGTGATGATGATGATGATGCTGATGATGATGCTGATGATGATGATGATGATGATGATGATGATGATGATGATGATGATGATGGTGGTGGTGGTGATGATGATAATGATTATGATGATGACGACGACGATGACGACGACGACGACGACGACGAGGAGGAGGAAGAAGGGAGGAGGGAAAGGAGGAGGAGGAGAAGGAGGAGGAGGAGGGAGAGGAGGAGGAGGAGAGGAGGAAGGAGGAGCTCGCGGGGCGCTGTCTCCTCAAAACGAGGACCCAATCCCACAGGGTGGTTGGGACAAAAACGGCGGGCGAACTTTGGTTCTCTTTCGGCCTCCGGGGGCAACGACCTGGCCCTGGACGGCCACAGGCGACCCGGGATGAGAAACGGGCCCCAGGAAGTAGACTAAGCCTCCAGGGGCACACGTCGCAAGACACAGCATGACGTTGGGGTGCCTGGGGTGCTGGCCGTCGGGAGGGGCCCTCGGGGGGAGCCCTTTGCCACATCACTGTAGGGCTCGAGCTAAACAGTGCTTTTCGTGTCCATGCTGTCTTCGCGTTCCTCCGTGCTGCAAAACGAAATCAGAACGAAAACGGCCTACGAGATCGCCAACACACCGTTCAGCTCGAGCCCTGCGTTGCCACACCACTGCCGGCCCGGGGGTGGGGGGGGGAAGCCGCCTGCCGCACCATCCTGGCACTGACCCCGCGCCAAATGGCGCGGCCTGTGCATTCCGTCACCGCGTGGACCGCAGCGGCAAGGGCCAGAGGAGGCGGACAGGGGAGGAGAAGGAGAGGGACGAGGACGACAGGCGACCACCATCATAACCAATACCTCGAACAACACGACGACGACGACGACGACGACGACGACGACGACGACGACGACGACGACGACGACGACGACGACGACTACGACGATACCGGCGAGGACGAAGACCACGGCGAAGACGACGGCGACGACGACGACGACGACGCCAACGTCGACAACGCCGCGAACAACGACGTTGACGACGACGACGCGGCTCGGAGGCCTCCAGCAAGGCGGCCAGCTCGGCCGAGCGGCCAGGAGTCTCCCCATCGAATTCTGCCTCGTCGTGCAGCCTCGGCGTTTCGGGGTGCAGGATGTCAGAGGGAGGGAGGGGGGGGGGGGGGAAGGGGGGGAGCAGGCAGGGGGGGGGGGAGAGGCCAGGGAGAGAGGAAGAGGGAGGAAGGGCGAGGGAGGAGGGAGCATTCAGGGGTGAGAATGCGAGGAGAAAGCGAGGTGGGGAGGAGGTCGGGAAGAGGAACAGGGGAAGGGGGGAAGGGGGGAGGAGGAGGAGGAGGAAGAGAGAGCGGAGGGAGGGGCAGGGGCGGGGGCAGGGAGGGGGGGGGGAGGCAGGGGGGCGGCTCCGCGAGGCGCTCGAGGAGCACTCAGAGGTCGGTTCCTGCAAAATCCTCGAAGTCTCCAAGTGGAGGAGGAGGAGGAGGAGGAGGAGGAGGAGGAGGAGGAGGAGGAGGAGGAGGAGGGCTCCAAGTGGACAAGCGCGTTCCACTGCTCGCGAAGTCACCACTCGCAAGTGGGGGGATCTGCGATGCACTCTGATCAGGGAAAAGACGTATCTTTCTCCTGACGCTTGCGACTGGGCACTTCGCGAGTCGTGGAACGCGCTCGGTGACTAGGGGCTCCGATGACACGGCCCGCTCCGGCGGTCCTTCGCCGCGCGGGGCGAAGCAAGGCCCAGAGGCCCACGCCGAGCGAGCACGACCGGATCCCGTCCTGGGAAGCGGCGTCGCACGGAAGCAGGGGCAGCAGAACGGGCAGGCAAGACCGGAGCGGCCTCAAGCTTGCAAGTTGGATGCTCGTTCTGGGGACCTTCCTGGAGCCACTCGCTCCACTCGTGCGTCGAAGCTGCGTCGAACGCCAGTCGATTTGGGTCGACCCTGAGTCGAACCTGAGTCGAACCTGAGTCGAACCTGAGTCGAACTTGAGTCGAACTTGAGTCGAACTTGAGAGTCGAACTGGGGTCGAACAGATCCGTCAGGTGGGCTCCAGGAAGGTCCCCGAAACGAGCATCGAACGCAGGGGTGCATCCACGGCGGCCCCAGAAGAAGAAGGGCACAGACAGAAGCCGGTCGGCGCTCCGCCGCGGACTGCTTGGATCCGCGGCGGGGGCGCGCCGGGGGGGCAGCGCTCGAGGCGCCGCCCTGGGGAGGCCCAGTGCAGGTCCAGGGGAGCCGCGCGGAGCGCCCAAAGGTTTGTGCTTGTGGCGCTTTTTCTTCTTCGAGGTCCGCCTGCCACCTTGACCATCGTGCTCAGGTCGGGCATGTCCTCCTGCAGGCGGCAAATCTGGGAGGAGAAAAAATCACTCGAAAAACGATCAAAGGTCATCGAAAAATCGTTCCCGGGCTAGCTCTTGACAACTTCTGAATATCTGTAGAGGGACACGCCCGACTTAACATCATGCCGTGCGCGCCTGGCGCGGCCGACCTCGGGGCCTCGGGGCATGTCGGGCGCGCGAGGTGCATGCCACTTTGAGGGGGGGGGGGGGGCAGCGGACGGGCTGCAGATGGTGCGCGGTCGGATCATCGGCGCGCCGTGCTCGAGCTGCCATATCGGATCTTTGGCACGTCGTGCCGCCACATAACATGCCGGATCGGGAACGGCGGGGATGTCCCCACGGCGCGCCGAGGCCACGAGTAGGCTCCCCGACCTAGATCTGACGAACGGCCTGAGAGCGACTCTTGAGCCCCAAGCTGCTTAGCAACACAGGGACCCCCAACCCCTCGGGAGGGGGCCAGAGTCAGGAGGGCCAAGGACATTAGGGATAGGGTCCTTGTCTGCTGATGTTTCGAATCAAACTGCCCAGATCTAGTATCCCTCATGCATAGACGCGGATCTCAGTGAGGCTACGTCTTCATCGTGTTATGAGAGAGAGAGAGAGAGAGAGAGAGAGAGAGAGAGAGAGAGAGAGCGTGATCCACCGCCGCTTTGCTGTTGAAAATTCCCCCCTTCTTCCTCCCCCCGAACCCCCCCCCTGCTCGAACCAGTCCCCGCCCCCTCCCCCGGCAGCCCCCCCCCCAAACCCCCCCCTCCCTCCGAAAACCAAGAGGGGTCACTATCGATTCGAACCCCCCCCCTCCTGCGGAAAACCGAGGGGGTCACTACCGACTCGAACCCCCCCCGTCGCCGCCGACAAACGACTCCCGGGTCCCCACCACCGTCCTCACCACCGCCCTCACCACTGTCCCCACCACCACCGTCCCGACCACTGTCCCACTATCCTCACTGACCCCACCACTGTCACACTGCCCCCACTGTTCCCACCGCTCTCCCCACTACTGTCCCACTGTCCCCATCACCACTGTCCACACCACCACCGTCCCCACCACTGTTCCACTGTACCCTCACCAGTGTCCCCACCACCACCGTCCCCACCACAGTCCCACTGTCCCCACAGTACCCACCACTGTCCCACTGTCCCCACTGTTCCCACCACTGTCACCACTGTCCCCACCAGTGCCCCCACCACTGTCGCACTATCCCACTGTCCCCACCTCTGTCCCCACCACGGTCCCACTCTCCCCACAGTCACCACTGTTCCCATCTCTGTCCCACTGTCCCCACTGTCCCCACCACTGTCCCCACCACTGTCCCACTGTCCCCACTGTTCCCACCACTGTCCCCACCACTGTCCCAGTGCTGTCCCACTGTCCCCAGTCCCCACCACTGTCCCAGTCCCCACTGTCCCCACTGTCCCCACCACTCTCCCAAATGTACCACTGTCCCATTGTCCCACCACTGTCCCCACCAGCACTGTCCCAGTCCCCTCACCACTGTCCCCACCACCACCGTCCCCACCACTGTCCCACTGTCCCCAGTCCCCACTGTCGCCACCAGTGTCCCACTGTCCACACTCTTCCCACCACTGTCCCCACTGTCCCCACCAGTGCCGCCACTACTGTCGCGCTGTCCCCACCAGTCCCCACTACGGTCCCACTCTTCCCACTGTCCCCGCCACTGTCCCACTGTCCCCACTCCCCACCACCATCCCCACCACCGTCCCAACCACTGTCCCCACCAATCCCCCATCCGGAGTATGGGAGGAGAATGACTCGTTTGCCGGCGGCGAGGAGGGGGGGGGGTTCGAACCGGTAGTGACCCCCCCCCCCCTTTCATGATGGGCTGGGGGGGGGTTGGAACCCCCAGTGACCCCCCTCGGTTTTCGAGAGGGGAGGGGGACGGGTTGGAAACCCCCAGTGACCCCCCCAGTTGTCTGCCAGCAGCGGCAGAGCACGCTCTTTCTGTTATGATGGTCAGGGATTCCTTGATCACCGATGAAAAACGGTCCTTATCGCAGAGTCTTGGCTGTATGGGGCGATAGATATTCAGAAATGGATTGCGTCAAGGAGAAGCCAAGGAGGAAGCCGCTATGGGCTCACTGGCTGACCTTTGGGAAGGTCAGATGTCGCTCCAGACTCCAGACCGTTGTATGGCTTTGGTATGTCATGCTGGGACCTGAGAACCAAAGCATAGTTGCTGGCGCTGTCCACGAACCCCATATGCATTGTCGAGTGATAATAGAAACAGTTTCACGCGACTTACACTGAGAACGGCGCAAATACGTATGTTCAATGCACAGAAGAATAATCCTCACAGCATTTCGGTGAAGTTCGCCACGCGGGGTCACTAAGCGAGGAACTGAATCTGCGTTGCAACAACATGCGAAACTGGGGGTGCTGGCCAGCGTTTACTAAAGGGTATTCGCACAATCCAGGCAAAAGCGCGCCCGGAAGCGGCCCTCAGCGCACCAAAGCTGCACCGGCGAAATACCGTATGATGACGCAGAGCCTGAACTACGGGGCACTATCTGCCAGACGTCTCTTACGCGACGGCTAGCGCACAGTGGGTCGGTGACTGTGGGCGCAGCACAGACCCTTGTCGACGAAAGAGGCCCCAGTGTGGCCTGAGCAACGCACAGGTGCGATCTGGCCAGGTCGAAGGCTCTGCCGAACAGAATGGTTGCCTTCAGAATCGTAGGATGCCGAATGTATCCCGCCAGATGCGGTCTGGGGAGACGGCCTCTCCATATAAAAACGCCACGGTTGTTGGATCGAGTTCGAAACGGCGAGAAATGCCGCAGACGACCTGAAATGCGGCGGCGAGCAGAGTAGCAGCTGTCACGTAAAGAGCCCAGACAGCGATGATCTCCAAGATGAGGTCCGAGTAGATGTGGTCGGAGGATCGCGCCGCATCGGCGATACATCGCCGGTGGGTCGGCGATGCACCTGCGACGTCGGCGAGTGCCATCAGCGTGGAGAAAACCGGGCTCCACCTCTAGCCATATCGCCGATGCATCGTCCATGCGGCGCGATCTCTCTAGGAGCTCTATAGAAGGAACCCCAACTCGTCTCCTCGGATCGTCTGACCGTGGCCTCCGCGGAGCCCTACCTGACCTCCCCCAAGACTGGCGGGCCACAGCCCCGGCCCCAGGCCACACACCGGGCATCGTAGCCGGCTCAAAAATCAAACGAGGCATCACAGCCTCAACATTAACATCTTGGACTGATCCACTCACGGATCCAAACCGAAGTACTGCATCATTGACCCCCCCCCCAGCCACTGCTGGCCCCTGCCTGCCGCCTGCGTGCTCGATCGGGGCGGCGGGCATCGACAAACGCGCAGCCACCCGCGCGGCTCGGCTGGCGCCGCCCGACGACAGCCCGACGCGGCTCGCGAGGGCGGGGCGCGCACGCACCCAGTGAGCGACTACCAAAGACTGGCCTTACGCGACTGGACGTAGCGACCTTACGCGGTGGCTTACGCGGGCCGCCGGCGCGGCACGCTACAGTGGAGACGAGGGCGCGCACGCGCGGCCTTGCGCGGGCGGCTGACGCGGCAACGTCGGCGGAGACGACCCCTTTTGCGCGTCGCCCACTGACGCCCACGAAGGAGACACGGGGGGGACGTTGCTCCAGATCCTTCAAGAAGCACACACACACACCCGTGCCAACCTGTCCGACGCCCCCTGCCCGCCCCCCCACGCGCCCCAAACCCGCCCCCTCTCGCTCCCCAACCCCCCCACGCCCCCCGAAGGACCGCGGTTTCCCCACCCCCCCACGCGATCCACCCCCCCCACGCTTATGGAGAGACCTTCGGAGTGGGCAGGGGCCGGCTCAGAGGGGGAGACCTCGGGCCTGACAGTCGGCTGCACATCGCCGACAGCTGGGCGAGGGGCCCCCCACAGCGAGAGCGCCCGCTGCCGGGAGGTGCGGGCGCTCCGGGCCCCGATCGGCGATCAGTGGGCGATTGTGGGGGTCGATACGCTCCCCCCCGAGCCGATCCCCCGCCCCCCCCCAAAAAAAATACCCCTGACAGGCCAGAAGGCAGGAAAGGGAAGGGGGCCAGGAAGCAGGAGGGAGGAAGGAGGAGGAGGAGGGGGGCGAGGAGGAGAAGAGGAGGTGGAGGAGGAGGAGGAGGAGAGTTGGAGGAGGAGGAGGGGGGGAGGGGACGGGAATTAGGATTAACGGAGGGAGGGAGGAGGAGGAGGTGGGGTGGAGGTGGGAGGGCGTAGGATGAGGGAGGAGGGAGGAGGGAGGTGGAGGAGGGGGGAGAGAGGAGAGAGGAGGAGAAGAGGGAGTAGACGGAGGAGAGAGAAGAGAGGGAGGAGAGGGAGGAGAGGGGTTGAGGAAGGGAGGAGGAGGGGAGGAGGAGGAGGAGGAGGAAGAGGAGGAGGAGGAGGAGGAGGAGTGGGAGGCGGGAGGAGGGAGGAGGACGACGACGGCGACGACGAGAGAGGCAGCTCAGCAGGAGGAGGACGATCCGCACGCTGCCACCACCGCACGCCGCGAGCACGCGGGGGGCCGCACGATCTGGAGCCCGAGCGCGCGGCCACTCCTCCGTGGCCGCGCCCGCGGGCGGCGAGTCAGCCGCCCCATGGCCACCGCCGCCGCCGCGGGCCCGCCCCCACTCCTGCCGGCGGAGCGCGCCCGCTGCGCGCGCTGCGCCCCCCTGACAGGTGGCGACATCCGAGCCGTGCCCCTCGCCAAACATCGACCCTCCTGAAGGGATTGGGAGGCGGGGGTGGGGTTCGCATCTCGCGACGGGGCCGACGCACTCCGAGCCCAGCCCCCGCGGACCATCGGGTCGCCTGGACCGCTGGTCGGCGAGGGCAGGGTTCGGATGTCACCGCCGACCGGAGCGGGGACGCACAAGGACACACTATCACGATGTGTGTTTGGAGGAATGCGTCCGACCCGAACATGCAGTACACCCTGCGAAATGCTTAAGAAATCATGGGTTAAGAAATTCATAGTCTCAGAACTTGAATAAAACCCAGAACTTCTATCAAAATCTTGGGATTTACATTGAAAAGTTAAGAATAATCGAGACTCTGGCCGAAAACTTGGGTTTTCTTAAGCATCGCCCAAGGTGTACAAGCAGATTGTATCGTATCGTATCGTATCGTTTCCCGAGCGGTATGGCCAGGAAGCGCCCGCCATGCTATAACTAAGATTTCTCGGCGAGCGCGTCGCCCCTCGATGGGCGACACACTCACACACACAGTCACACACACAGTCACACACACAGTCACACACACACACACAGTCACACACACACACACACACACACACACACACACACACACACACACACACACACACGCGCGCGCGCGCGGGCGCACACACACAGTACTAGCATGGTGGGGTGACGCCGATGAGCCTCGGCCTCGGACTCGCTCTCGGAGCCGTAGGCCTGCGTGGCGATGGACGCCCTCGCGGCCGCCTCGGCCCGCCTCCGCTCCTCCAGGCGAGGCGCGCCCGCTGCCCGCGCTGCGCCCCCCTGACGAGGGAGGGACAGCGAGTCGGGTGTTGCTAGAAGTGCCCCTGGTCCAAGGCGCCCCCAGGAAGGACGGCTGAGGAGGAGGGGGGGGAGGCGGAGGAGGAGGAGGAGGTGGAGGAGGGAGGAGGAGGGGGAGGGAGGAAGATGAGGAGGGAGGAGGAGCAAGAAGCAGGTATGAGGAGGAGGGAAGAGGAGGCAGGAGCTCAGAAAAGGAGGAGGTGGTGCTAGCGAAGGAGGAGGAGGAGGAGGAGGAGGAGAAGGAGCTGTCCGCAGCCGAGCCGCCGGACCGTGCGATGGCCCTGCTCGTTCCGATCGTCCCAAAACCTCAGATCCTCAAACTCGATGCCCTCCTCCTCATCCTCCTCATCCTCCTCCTCCTTTCCTCCTCATCCCTCCTCCTACTCCTCCTCCCTCCTACTCCTCTCTACCTCCTCCTCCTCTGCCTCCTCCTTCCTCTCCTCATCCTCCTCCCTAATCCTCCTCCTCCTCCTCCTCCTACCATCTTTCCCAAAACCTCTCCCATCTACGCCGACCACGTCGAGCCGACAAGGCCGGACGACGTACCGCCGAGCGTCGGAGACTGGGGGAGATCAGGAGATCAGGACAAGGACAACCCAGACCCGCGACGCCATGATTCTGTCACAGCATGGACCTCCGGAGGATTCGACCCATTCCCCTTCCCCGGGACCAGTTTTTCATCCTGAGTCGTCTGTTGACGCCAGACCGAACTCTAGCCCATACGCCTGCGTCTCGGCGGGAACGCCGGTCCGAGCAGACAGGTCTGCCTCATCGTCGTAACCGTGGCCTGCCTGGGCCTCCTCGCTGCTGCCATACGCCTGCGTCTCTGCGGGAGGAGCCGCCAGCATCAGCGCGGCTGGCAGCGCCTCTGCAGACGAACCAGCTGGAGGCGGTGCAGCTGCCTCGTCAGCACAGCCACTGCGCCTCTGGGCCTCCGCAGCGAGCTCCGCGTCGCGCGCCTGCTGCTGCGCAGAGGCGTCTGCCGTGGCCGCCGCGGCTGCTCCATCGACGAGGCAAGGGCTAAACTGGGCCTCTGCATCCAGCGCCAGTTCGTACGCTTGCGTCTCTGCAGGGGCGACCTGAAGGTCCGAAGCAGCTGCTGTGCGAGTGATACCATAGCTTGCCTCAGCCTCCAACCCAGGCCTCACCTCGCACGCCTGCATCTGTGCAGAGACGCCCGCTGGGCCCGATGCAGCTTGTCCGTCAGCCTGAGCCGCCAGACCGAACTCTAGCCCATACGCCTGCGTCTCGGCGGGAACGCCAGTCCGAGCAGACAGGTCTGCCTCATCGTCGTGGCCGTGGCCTGCCTGGGCCTCCTCGCTGCTGCCATACGCCTGCGTCTCTGCGGGAGCAGCCGCCAGCATCAGCGCGGCTGGCAGCGCCTCTGCAGACGAACCAGCTGGAGGCGGTGCAGCTGCCTCGTCAGCACAGCCACTGCGCCTCTGGGCCTCCGCAGCGAGCTCCGCGTCGCGCGCCTGCTGCTGCGCAGAGGCGTCTGCCGTGGCCGCCGCGGCTGCTCCGTCGACGAGGCGAGGGCTAACCTGGGCCTCTGCATCCAGCGCCAGTTCATACGCTTGCGTCTCTGCAGGGGCGACCTGGAGGTCCGCAGCAGCTGCTGTGCGAGTGATGTCTTGGCTTGCCTCAGCCTCCAACCCAGGCCCGACCTCGCACGCCTGCATCTGTGCAGAGACGCCCGCTGGGCCCGATGCAGCTTGTCCGTCATCCTCAGCCGCCAGACCGAACCCTAGCCCATACGCCTGCGTCTCGGCGGGAACGCCGGTCCGAGCAGACAGGTCTGCCTCATCGTCGTAACCGTGGCCTGCCTGGGCCTCCTCGCTGCTGCCATACGCCTGCGTCTCTGCGGGAGCAGCCGCCAGCATCAGCGCGGCTGGCAGCGCCTCTGCAGACGAACCAGCTGGAGGCGGTGCAGCTGCCTCGTCAGCACAGCCACTGCGCCTCTGGGCCTCCGCAGCGAGCTCCGCGTCGCGCGCCTGCTGCTGCGCAGAGGCGTCTGCCGTGGCCGCCGCGGCTGCTCCAGCGACGAGGCGAAGGCTAACCTGGGCCTCTGCATCCAGCGCCAGTTCGTACGCTTGCGTCTCTGCAGGGGCGACCTGGAGGTCCGAAGCAGCTGCTGTGCGAGTGATGTCTTGGCTTGCCTCAGCCTCCAACCCAGGCCCGACCTCGCACGCCTGCATCTGTGCAGAGACGCCCGCTGGGCCCGATGCAGCTTGTCCATCATCCTCAGCCGCCAGACCGAACTCTAGCCCATACGCCTGCGTCTCGGCGGGAACGCCGGTCCGAGCAGACAGGTCTACCTCATCGTCGTAACCGTGGCCTGCCTGGGCCTCCTCGCTGCTGCCATACGCCTGCGTCTCTGCGGGAGCAGCCGCCAGCATCAGCGCGGCTGGCAGCGCCTCTGCAGACGAACCAGCTGGAGGCGGTGCAGCTGCCTCGTCAGCGCAGCCACTGCGCCTCTGGGCCTCCACAGCGAGCTCGCGTCGCGCGCTGCTTTATGCGAAGAGGCTGGCGTTGCCGTGGAAGCCGCGGTCTGCTCCATCGACGAGGCGTGGGCAAACCGGTGCCTCTGCATCCAGCGACTGTTCATACGCTTGAGTCTCGCAGGGGCGACCTGGAGGTCCGAAGCAGCCTGCTGTGCGAGTGATACATAGCTTGCCTCAGCCTCAACCCAGGCTCCTCGCAACGCTGCATCTGTGCAGGAGGACGCCCGCTGGGCCGATGCAGCTTGTCTCATCTCAGCCGCCAGAACGAACTCTAGCCCATACGCCTGACGTCTTGGCCGGCGGGAACGCCGGTCAGAGCAGACAGATCTGACTCATCGTCGTGGCCGTGGCCTGCCTGGGCCTCCTCGCTTGCTGCCCATACGCCTGCGTCTCTGGCGGGAGCAGCCGCCAGCATCAGCGCGGCTGGCAGCAGCGCTCTGCAGACGAACCAGCTGGAGGCGGTGCAGCTGCCTCGTCAGCGCAGCCACTGCGCCTCTGGGCCTCCGCAGCGAGCTCCGCGTCGCGCGCCTGCTGCTGCGCAGAGGCGTCTGCCGTGGCCGCCGCGGCTGCTCCATCGACGAGGCGAGGGCTAAACTGGGCCTCTGCATCCAGCGCCAGTTCATACGCTTGCGTCTCTGCAGGGGCGACCTGGAGGTCCGAAGCAGCTGCTGTGCGAGTGATGTCTTGGCTTGCCTCAGCCTCCAACCCAGGCCCGACCTCGCACGCCTGCATCTGTGCAGAGACGCCCGCTGGGCCCGATGCAGCTTGTCCGTCAGCCTGAGCCGCCAGACCGAACTCTAGCCCATACGCCTGCGTCTCGGCGGGAACGCCGGTCCGAGCAGACAGGTCTGCCTCATCGTCGTAACCGTGGCCTGCCGGGGCCTCCTCGCTGCTGCCATACGCCTGCGTCTCTGCGGGAGCAGCCGCCAGCATCAGCGCGGCTGGCAGCGCCTCTGCAGACGAACCAGCTGGAGCAGCGCAGCCACTGCGCCTCTGGGCCTCCGCGCCGAGCCCGGCCTCGCAGGCCTCCGCCGGCAGGGGGGCGGCGGCCGGTGCCGGTGCGGCAGCAGCACCAGCGCGGCCGCGGCAGGCCCTGGCCTCTGCGCGGAGGTTCGCGTCGCGCGCCTGCTGCTGCGCAGAGGCGTCCGCCGTGGCCGCTGCTGCTGCTCCATCGGCAAGGTCAGAGCCAGTCAGGGCCTCTGCGTCGGTGCCGAGGTGGCACGCCCGTGCCTCTGCGGGAGCGCCCAGCGGTGCCGATGCAGCCGGGGCGCCATCGAGACCACGCCTGGCCTGCGCCTCCTCGTCGAACCCGTACACCCGTGCCCCTCCAGGAGCGCCCAGCAGTGCCAGTGCAGCTGTGGGACCGTCAGGAGCACGGCTGGCCTGGGCCCCCTCTCCGAGCCCGTGTTCCCGCGTCTCTGCAGGAGCACCTGCAGGGGCCAGAGCTGCTGCTCGTTGAGCACCGCCATGGCTCACCTCGGCCTGCAAGCTGGGTCCCATCTTGCAGCTCTGTGCCGTTTCAGGAGTGCCAGGCAGAGCAGATGCAACCTCCCCGTCAGCGACACCGCTGCTGGCCTGGGCCTCCACACCAAGATCCATGTGGTGCGCCCGCGTCTCGACCACACCATGCGCTCGTGGCGACGCTGCCCCCCTGCCAGCACAGCAAAGGTCAGCCTGGACCTCTGTGTCGACGAGCCCTGATTAACGGGGGAAGGACGGTATAAGATAAACTTTTTCGCTGTCGGGGGCGCTTGTCCCTGGGCGGCTGGAACGTTTATGCCCTTACGGTGGCACCGTAGGGGTATAAACTTTCCAGCCGCCCAGGGACAGGCGCCCCCGACAGCGAAAAAGTTTATCTTATACCGTTCTTCGCTCGCTGACCTGAGTCGTACGACTGCGTCTCGGCAGGAGGACTCACCTGCCCCGCCGCGGCGGCTTCGCCGCCGCCGCGGCCGCGCGCGGACGGCGACCCCTGCGCTTCCGCTGCGGGAGCACCCGCCGGCGCAGCTCCTTCGGCCGAGCCGCGCCTCTCCTCGCGGCAGGTCAAAGAGGGGGGGGATCCTGCGGGATGGGGTCCTGAGGACGAGGTGCCTCAAACAGCGAAAATCCACCCATGGCTCTCTTCCCATCCCTAAGCCCCCATCGACTGCCCCCCCGAGATGGGGGTGTGGGCCGTTCCCTTCGGGCTCCGAGGTGTGTGTGTGTGTCCCCAACTGGGGCGCAAGGCTGCGGGGGGTCTGCATGAGGATGGGGATGGGCTTCGGCTCAACGATTAGGAGAACAAAAAGTGGCATAAACATAAAAACTCGGAGGTCCGCGCGGACTTCTCGGATCCGCGCTCCAACCCCCCCGGCGGCGCCTCCAGCGCCGCCCCTGCCGCGCTCCGCGCGCCAGGGAGGGGGTCCAGCGCCGATCCGAGAAATCCGCGCGGACCTCCGAGTTTTTATGTTTGTGCCACTTCTTGTTCCCCCAACGATGCCGACCTCGGGACCCCCTCTCTGATGAAGGGGCCCTGGGACACACACACACACACACACACACACACACACACACACACAGACACACACACACACATATTCCGATATTCTCTGGGCTCTTGTCTTCCCCCACCCACTTGCCATATCTTCCCATATTTTCCCTGGGAGTGGACGACTCATTGTGCCCCTCCTGATTGGAGCCGCCCGTCCTCGGCCTCCGCGCCGCGCCCCCGCTCGCGCGGCCGCGCCGCCGCACCGCCGGCCGCCGCGCCGCGCGCGCCCTCGGCCTGCTCTCCGGCGGCCGCGCCGGGGCTCGCCGGGGCCTCCCGGGGTCTGCTGGGTCTTAGAAGAAGAGCATGGCCATGTGATAAGATGAGAGCCGATCGGAGTTATGCTATAGCATCTGGCATGTAAACTCATCTACCTTTTACATCTCTAACACCCGCAACATCTAGCATCTAGCATCTAGCATGTAGAAACTATATATGTCTACACCAGCCAGCATAACCGTGCTATAGCATGCGAAATGCTTAAGAAATCATGGGTTAAGAAATTCATAGTCTCAGAACTTGAGTAGAAGCCCAGAATTTCCATCGAAATCTTAGGATGTGCATGGAAACATTAAGAATAATCGAGACTCAGGCCGAAAACTTGGGTTTGCTTAACCATCGCCTGAGGTGTATAGCATGAGAACCTACAGACCTCATAAGACATGTGTTTTGATCTGCGGGGCGAGGGCGAACCTCTTCCGCTGAAAGCCGAGCGGGACGCGCACGGCTTTCAGTTTGCGGCTTTCACGCGCTCTCGTAGAGCGTCTGCCATGTAGAATCCGGAAAAACACACACACACCTGGTGATCTGGGAGAGTCCTGCGCTCGAACACTCGAGGACGCGGCGAAGGCAGCAAGGAGGAGGAGGAGGAGGAGGAGGAGGAGGAGGAGGAGGAGGAGGAGGAGGAGGAGGAGGGGGAGGAGGGAGGGGGAGGAGGAGGAGCAGGAGGAGAGAGGAGGGAGGGAGGGGGAGGAGGAGGAGGAGGAGGAGGAGGAGGAGGAGGAGGAGGAGGAAGGAGGAGGAGGAGGAGGAGAGGAGGAGGAGGGGAGGAGGAGGAGGAGGAACGAGGAGGAGGAGGAGGGGGAGGATGAGGGGGGGGGGAGGAGGGAGGGGGAGGAGGAGGAGGAGGGGAAAGGGGGGGGGGGGGGGGGGGGAAGGAGGAGGAGGTGGCGGAGAAGGAGGAGGAGCAGGGGCCTTCTTGACCAGCCTCGAGCTTAATGCCTATCCCTAAGCTTGACACGCCCACAGGCGGTGACAACAATCTCAGGGATCTCCGCCCTCAGAAAAAATAGAAAGGAGTCCCGAAGAGTGGCCTCGTGACGAGGAGGAGGAGGAGGAGGAGGAGGAGGAGGAGGAGGAGGAGGAGGGGGGAGGAGGGAGGGGGAGGGGAGGGAGGAGGAGGAGGAGGAGGAGGAGGAGGAGGAGGAGGAGGAGGAGGAGGAGGAGGAGAGGGGAGGAGGAGGAGGAGGAGGAGGGGGAGAGGAGGAGGAGGAGCCAGCCTCAGACCCAGGAGGCCTGCACATACTGACAAGAGTGGCATGTGACCGAGCCTCGGGCCAGCACAGGACAAGGGATGTGTGTCCAGGCCGGTGACCTTCCGGCGGGCGGGGAAGGCCCCGACACGTGCAGGTCGTGCCGTGTGCCACTGCAGGGCGTGTGGAGGAAAAACCAAAGAAATGTGCAGAAAACAGCCAAAGAGGGTACCCTCCTCCTCCTCCTCTCCTCCCCCTCCTCGTCCTCCCTCCTCATCCTCATCCCTCCTCCTCTCTCCTCCTCCTCCCTCCTTTCCTCCCTCCTCCCCTCTCCTCCCATCCTACTCCCTTTTCCTCCCTCCTCCCCTCCTCCTCCTCCCAGGGACAGGAGTCGAGCGATCGTACCCCGACTGTTTCTTGGCTATTTCTGGATGTCCCTCCTGTAGAGGGACACGCCCGACGTAGCCCTGACATCCTCGCGTCCTGGTAAAAGAGCGACGACGGGAGGCTCTGGGCCGCTGTGTCGGCCCAGAGGGGCCTCCGTCGGGCCCGTGGGGGACGGGAAGGGAAGGACTCAAAAAGCGGCCCCAGGGAAGGGGTCGGGAAGTGTTATGGTAGGGGCCCGACCGCAAAACCGTCCACAAGAAACCCAACCTGAGACCCTGGACGTCCATGGATGTTTGGTGTGGGATTGTCACGCTTCCCGTAGCAAGACCAAGGGCAACCCGAGAAACCCAGGGCACCCTGGAGGCAAGCAGGGTGCTTCTTGGCATGGGTCTCCACTGTGGTGGACCCCGCATTGAAACAAGTCCAGACAGCGGATCTCTGGGTAAGGAGAGCGCAAGGCCTGCTTCCGTCATTCTCGACCCTTTCGAGGGGGCCGGCTGTGCATCCTGTGGGATTTGGGTGTCCCAAAACCGTGTGGTGACAGACCTGGCGGTGACCTCGAAATCCGCAGAGACCTCACCGCACGGTCCGTCACCACACGGCCTTGGGACCCTGGAGGCTCCAGTCGCCCGAGACATCCTCGGAGAACGACCCAAGTCCCAAAACCGTGCGGTGACCCCGAATCCCCACCGACTCACCACACGGTGTGGTCACCACCCCGTTTGGGAGCCCCCGAGGGATCGTTATGGTGACCGGCCCCGGGGCCCAGTGAAGGAGTCCCCAAGGACGGAAGCCGGCCAAAAAAACCATCCGCCGTGTCCTTGTGGCCGCGACGCGAGGGGGGGCACTTTGCAGGGGGCCACCTGCGAGCCCTGCCCCTACCCCCCACGATTTCGGAGGGGGAGGAGGAGGAGGAGGAGGAGGAGGAGGAGGAGGAGGAGAGGAGGAGGAGGAGGATGGGAGGAGGAGGAGGAGGAGGAGGAGGAGAAGGAGGAGGAGGAGGAGGAGGAGGGGGAGGAGGAGGAGGAGGGGTGAGGAGGAGGAGGGCAGGAGGAGGAGGAGGGAGAGGAGGAGGAGGAGGAGGAGGAGGAGGTGGGGTTCACTTCGCTGGGGAGCTCCCGAACGAAGTGAACCCCACCCTCCCCCTCAGAAATCGTGGGGGGTAGGGGTAGGGTTCGCATGTGGCCCCCCAATTTGGGGGAAAAGGAGCTGGCATGGGGCCCGGGGGGCCGAAGGCGGCCAAGAAAGCGCCGAGGACCCGTGAGCCGCCACCTTCGCGGCAAGGCTCCCCGTGCATCTCTCGGCTTCCCGCGCGCCTTTTCTCGCAGGATTGCCCGAGAGGGTCCTCGATGGTCCTCGCCAAAAAACGAGCCTGGCGAAAGACCCAACCACATGACCGCAACTCTTGATAGATTCTTCGGCGGCGTTCCCTGTGGGGCCACGAACGTCTGAAGGGTGTGCCGACATGTGCGGCAGGATACACCACACGAACGAAGACGATTGAAATGAGCACGAGGGACTGAGCGCGGGTGACTCTGAGCGCGAGCGAGTCTACAGTAGTCCTCGCCACAACAAAATGCGCAAGTCCGAGCGATGCCAAGAAGAGCAGCTCCGGTCCGACGGTATTGGGGGGATGGCAAGGGGAGGGGGGTCCGCGGATCAGCTCTCGTAGCTGACTCTCCTACGGTAGAGGGAAACAATGAGGAGGAGGAGGAGGAGGAGGAGGGAGGAGGAGGAGGAGGAGGAGGAGGCGCGAGGAGGAGGAGTGAGGGGAGAGGAGGATGGGGGGGAGGAGGAGGAGGAGGTGAGGGGTGAGGAGGAGAGGAGGAGTTTTTTTGAAGGAGGAGGAGGAGGAGGAGAGGAGGGGGAGGAGGAGGAGCAGGAGGAGGAGGAGCAGGAGGAGGAGGAGGAGGAGGAGGAGGTGAGGGTGAGGGCCGCTGAGAGCGCGTCCGAGTCGAACACGCCTCAGGAACAAATGAGAACCCTGAGGGGCCGCGAAGCGGCGGAAATATTATGTACTGAGAGGGCGGGCGAGGGCCAGGGAAAACCGACGCCGCGAAACCGCTCCCAGGGGAGGCAAGACGAGTTACGTCTGCGCTTTGCCCTCGGGGCGCTTGGAGCGCCCTTGGCGGCCGTGGAAGATCCTATCGATCAACCCCAGCTGGTTGGCCCTCGTGCTCGGATTCTCTGAGAGCCCAGCACAAGGACGACGGAGCTTCCGAACGCTCCGAGACGTCTCGAGGGTCGTCGTGCCAGCACACGTACGGCAACAGTAGACCGAATTCACACAGAAGACATCGTGACCCAGAGCCGCAAACTCGGCTATGAGCTCGGTCGACCCTGAACTGTTTGAAGCCTCGCCGCTCTCAGGCTGCTGGGGAGGGTCCACGGGCCCAGGAAGGGGTCCCTCCGAGGCCTCGCGAGGCCCCTCACCCAAAAAGTCCGCGACGAGCACTTGGGACGGGGCAATACGGGGGTCCGACGCTTTGACCCAGACCTCCCCCGAATTCTTAAACCATTCCGCACAGGCCAGGCTCTGGAGGCTAGAGGGCTCACATTTCCTTCCCGAACCTGTCCTAAGCCAAGCTAAAGTCGAGTCCGAGCGAGCCGATCTCCCACATCTCCTGCACCTATGCTCCTTGAGTCTCCT